CACTCAACATTAAAAGGCAAAACAAAATCAGCAAAAAATTGGGAAATGAAACTATCTCACTACCAACAAAGCTATGTTGCTGCTGTTTAACTCTCTGGAGCCAGACAAGTGTAGGGATAGGATGATTCTATAATTTTAAAGCTCCTGTAATATGATGAGTTACAAAGAAACCAGGAAAACTTAAGCAGGCATTGAAAACATAGTGGTGATAGTGGTGATAGCACAGCTTCCAGCACATGGCAGAACTGTGAGTGACTGAGACATGTCAACCACAAACAGGCCAACTTTGAGGGCCACGTTTATTTGATAGTATCTGGCAGCAGAAACAGCTGAAGGAAAGCAGCTTGGCTAACAGATTGGTGCATATTCTTTAAGGAGCCACAGCTCAGAACTGTTCACCAGGCCCCACAAATACATTCACAACATTTAGAACAAAGATGTGAAACATTCAAAAGGGGCATTATTGAAAATAAACAGCAAAAGTCAATTTTGAAAAGGGTCACCTGGATATTGCCCTGAATATTGCCCTGAAATAAACAGTATTAAACTAACAGTGCTATAACAAGTTATGAATATAGCTTCCTAGTAAAACTATATAAGGCTTTATTTTTGTTTTGTTTTATATTAGGGAGAGTTTTGGGGTTTTGGAGAGTTTTTTTAGTATTTTAGGTTTGAGGGAGATTTTGCAAGAACAAAAGGAAAACTGAACTTAAAAGATGTTTTATTTAATACAGAAAATTGTATTTTTTATGTTTTACTTGTTTTCAAAAGGTAGCCAAAATCCAAACAAAGGACTGAGTTAATTTGGGGCAAAACAATAATATCATCAACTACTAGTTTTGAGCACAATATGCCAGGCGCTGAGCTAGGTGTTTTACATGTATTATCTTCTTTGTTACTCACATCATCCCTGTTAGAGAGAAAGCACTATTCCCGTTTGCAAGTCAAGAAACAGACTCAGAGAGGTGAATTTATCCAAGTCACATTGCTAATAAGTGATAAGGACCTTATTCTAATCCCTGGTTCTTGCCACTCACCATGAGGGTCTAAAGGGAGTGAAAAGAGAAGACAGGATGATGATGAAAACACGATAGGATGGAAATGAGAGCCATAAAAGAAGGAAAGAAGAGCGTAGGAAAGGGAAAGGTAAGGAAGGAGACCAGGCATCGAGAAAGAGAAAGAATTCTTTAGACTGATTGGGCCCTTTCAGAATGGTGATATTCTCAGTGACCATGATCATTCCATATCATTTTAGCTGATGCTCTTTTGAGTCCTGTGGAACATCTTACCAGACAGGCCCACTTCCCACCTTATGTAGTACTTTCCGAGGGCTATTTCAAAGCAGAGGTTACACAAGAAATTTGTCACATGTCTTGACAGTTTCCAGGAGCTGGAAGGAAATCAGAATTGGATTATTTAAATTTAAATTTAAATGTATCCTCAATGTATGTGCTCTAACTGTATACTGGCTTTGCAAAAAAAAAAAAAAAAAAAAAAAAATCTGTAATTTTAATTCACAGGAAAGCAGATGGGATCTGTCACGGAGGGATAAAACACAAGAAATGTGTCCAAATGTAAGAACAACAGCTTTTTTCTTGTGCACCAATTTTACAGTACAAGTATCTGTCACTGTGTATACACAAGCTGTTATTCATAAAAGAAATATTTATTCAGCAAATACTGTGTGACTTTTATGTACTTAATGACCAAAAGGAGCCTAAAAAGTTGATACTGTAATGAATAAATACCCACTTTAAAGATGAGAAAACCGAGGCTCAGAATATTAAACAACCAGAGGACACTGGCTAATAAGTAGCAGAACTGGAAGCAGCAGAGGTGATCTGAAGCGTCTGTGGCCAGAGAAGAAATCTATGCTGTGATAAATAGTAGGAGGAGAAAAATGGGGCAAAAAATGCGAGTATAACATTATTTTATCACACACCGGGGCCTATCATGGGGAGTGGGAGGGGAGAGGGATTGCACTGGGAGTTATACCTGATGTAAATGACGAGTTGATGGGTGCTGACGAGTTGATGGGTGCAGCACACCAACATGGCACAAGTACACCTATGTAACAAACCTGCACGTTATGCACATGTACCCTAGAACTCAAAGTATAATAATAAAAAAATTAAAAAAATAAAAAATAAAAAAAGATGAAATCAAAGTGCATGTAGCATGAAAAGGGAGGGAAGAAAGGTCTTGTAAATTTTTTGAGTAAAGAATGAAAATTACTGTATATACTTTATACCCTAAGGCTTAAATTAAGTAAGATTGTTTTTCTAATTTGCCCTTTTTATTTCTAATTTTGTGGGCTAAAATGACCCATTCAACTCAGCCGTTGTAATTAATCCTGTTTGTCCTGATGGTTTCTCTGAGTAATGCTAAGTTCCACACTGCAGGGTTAGTGTCTCAATGAAAGGTGGGTGTGTTATTTGGTCATTTTTTTTCCTCTTGGAAGTTAATTAAGTCAACATTAACCATGGCCATGTAACCACAGAATGGGCAGTTTCTTGAAGGCCCATGGTTTGGATCTTTTCCTGCAAAAACTCCCACTTCTATAGTTATATTTAGTGTTCTAACTGCCTGAATAGCTGGCTTGCTGTGGACCCATGTGTCAAGCCTGTTTGCAGCTGAATTTGTCTGCTTCAACGGAACCTCAGTGCCAAGAGTGTGTGGTTCCCAATGGACAGCCTGCCGAGTTCAGCCTCTCATTTCTTCCCCAGAGATCTCCCTGGGGTTAGCATTGCCGAATTTATGCCGTATGGCCCTGCAGTTCTCAAAACTGTTTACTTGATGTTTACAATCTTTTAAAAACTTGTCCATGTGCTTAACTCTGAAAGTAATGTAGTATCATCAACATGTGTGGTATGGACCTATCCTGATGACTGTTTGTATAGATGTGATTGAATTTTTTTAAGTACTGCCCATGCACAAAAGCTAGTTTTTTTTTTGTTTTTTTTTAATGTGAGTGCAGCTGTTTTAATTTAACAAAAAAAGAAAAGAAAAGAAAACCACAAACATTTTATCCTCTAAAACTTTAATTTTCAAAGACATAGGACATTTAAAGAGATGTAATATTTCTGAAACTGGTATATATCCCTACTTCTGTTCTCCTCTAACTTTTAAGAATTGAATACCGTTCCTCAGTTGAGATGTTGCATAGTTACATACAAACTTTTCAAACCAAAATTTATGTTACTGCTCAACTTCTTGTAATCTTTGAAATGTTAAGTTATAGTAGAAGCAGTAGCATTAGTAATAGAAACAAAAAGTAACTGTACATCTGTTCTCATGATCCCTCCCTAAGCTCAGTGAATTTTCCATGGACAAAGACAGCAGAGATGTCAAAAGGAAACAGTTGTGTTTTCCTGGGTTCACAGTAGCCCAACATGTCATGGTAAATATTGTGTTTGCTCCTTATTTTATGCTGTAGCAACAGTTCCACTTCCTATTACATAGGAAAACCTATTCTGCTGTTAAAAAAAAGGTCACTGAATGTATTTACTACAACATTAAGACCATTTTGTCCATGGAAATATTTTTTATTGTTCTGAGTCACTCCGGTTTGTGGAATTTTTACATGAGTTCCAGGACAAGGATGAGATGATATATTTATTTTACTTTGTATCCTCTTTAAATGCTTTTTGAATGCATGAATGTCAGGCTTGTTGTCAAAGTATTTCCATATTTTTATTACTTTAGAAGTAGCTCTGCTCTATTTTTGTCTCTTAAACTCTTCACTGACAATTCACACTGTGTACTCAGCATGCTGTATTTTGGCAGAACTACCTGCTTTGCCCAGTGTGATGTGATCTCTTGTTCCCTTAGCCCCTATTCAAGTCATCTCAATATATGTCTTTACTATCCTAAAGGTTTTGCAGACCTTTGAAAATACTGAAATTGTTTTGTTGAGCTGCTGGAGGGACTTGAATTAAATTGTGAACTTCAATTTGTTATGTTTCACATTTATTTCTTATATTAAAGTCAGCCTCAATAGAAGTGGTCCTTAATTCAACCCAGAATATCTCTGTGCTTTAGACATGCCCTGGAATCATAGAAATTCCTGAAATTTATTTGCAAATATTTATTGATTTGATTGTAGTTGTTGAACTTGTTAGTCACCTCTAGGGAACTAGGTTTTAAAAGATGGGTTATCATATTAACTGTTTGAATATAACTAACACAGTTTCGATTTACAGAGAAGCAATGGATGTTTTGACATTTTAGAAAATATTTGAATAGGAAACAATGATTGTCCTATGGATTGAGATTTCAAGGTACGAGTTATTGATATTCCTTCCATGTATTATACTGTGTGTGTACGATTCTGACTAAATGACTTACATAAGATTTAAAATGGAATCTTGCATTTTCTGGCAAGGGTAGGAGAATTAGGTGCTTTGCCTCCCACTTTCCTTGACTCATGTGCCCTAACTAGTCAGCCTCCAATAGTGTGCTAACTGGTCAGACCACAACAGTCTCCTAACTAGTCAGCCTCCAACAAATGCCCTAACTAGTCAGCCTCCAACAGTGCCCTAACTGGTTAGCCTCCAATAGTATGCTAACTGGTCAGACTCCAGCAATATCCTAACTAGTCAGCCTCTAACAAATGCCCTAACTTGTCAACCTCCAACAGTGGCCAAACTGGTCAGCCTCCAATGGTGCATTAACTGGTTGTACTCCAACAGTGTCTTAACTAGTCAGCCTCCAACAGTATTGTAACTACTCAGCCTTTCTACAGAAAAAAAAAATGACACTATATTGAGTCAATCTTACACTAGAAGGGAACAAAATAAGCAATTTCTAAGAGATCATTTATTCTCTTACAAATGATCATGACTGGTCATACACTATATATTCACAAGGATGGATGTATATGAGTGTGGATGTGTGTGGGTGTGTGCACATGAGCATGATTTAGTATTCAGATGTTTTGGATGGTTTTTTCTTGTTAGGAAATTATAGTATATTAATCTGAATCATTTTATTTTCAACAGGTTGACATGATGAAAGAAGCATTAGAAAAACTTCAGCTCAATATAGTAGAGATGAAAGATGAAAATGCAACTTTAGATGGTGGAGATGTTTTATTCACAGGTATAGTTGTATTTATTTTTTCTATCCAAGCATATTTTTAATACTTGGCTTGTATTTACATATTTTATTATAGTTTTTTGTGTGTGTTTTTTGTTTTTGTTTTTGAGACAGAGTCTCGCTGTCACCTAGGCTGCAGTGCAGTGGTGCCATCTTGGCTTGCTGCAACCTCTGCCTCCCGGGTTCAAGTGATTCTCCTGCCTCAGCCTCCTGAGTAGTTGGGATTACAGGTGTGTGCCACCATGCCCATCTAATTTTTGTATTTCAGTAGAGATGGGATTTTACCGTGTTGGCCAGGCTGGTCTCAAACTCCTGACCTCAGGTGATCCGCCCACCTCCACCTCCCAAAATACTAGGATTACTGGCATGAGCCACCATGCCTGGCCTATTATAGTAGTTTTAATTACCAAAGTAATAGATGCTAAATGGAGGGAAATTGGAAAATACAGAAAAACACAATAAGAAAAAAAGACCTTCTATTCAAATATAATCACTTTAGTATTTAGTATATATGTCTTTTTAGTACTTCGTATGTATACATTTGCATATTTTTACAAGAACATTATTGGTATATACATCACCACTGTGTATCTTGCTTCTACTTTATTCTTCTTCAACATGAATTTATAAGTTTTCCATTGTGTTACTGTATATCTGGTTTGTATTTAAAAGATTCTTAATTCAAGATTAGTGTCATTTACAATTTTCTTTCCAGATGGCAAGGTGGATTTAAATAATTTCTATGCAGATTGACTTGGCTTAATGCCAGATGAATAATAGCAGAACTCAACAAAATATGAACAGCTAATATTATTATTGATCTAACTGGAATCAGTTTTTACAATGTGTAATGTGGCTACTAAAGAAATAGTAATTTTAGCATTTAACCTTTTCAACTCATTTATCATATAATTAGTGTTGTATAAAATCATGTGTAAAATCCAGGTCCTCAAATTCATTCTGGTTATACTGATGAGCAAGATAATCAATAGTAATTTTAATTTATAGTGAGAGTTTATTTTCCCAGACATGTCAGAGAATACATTTCACCAGTGTAGCCCTGACAGCAAAGGGTGGTCCTCAGGGACTTAGGAATATAGCCCCAAGTGACCCACTGAAAGCATGAAGCTACTTGGAAGTCTAATATTTTGGTTGATGTGAATTTTATATTGAATCTCATATATACATATAGCCAAGATATAGCCATTTTTGTTTTAATATCAAAATAATGTTTTGCATTTCTTACCTTTGGACATAATTAATATTCCTGAAGAAGGAGTGTTTATCCTGTGACATTTAAGTAGTTCTTTGCTAAGTGTCACATACTGTAGCTATGGGTGAGGCCACCACGTTGCCAGCTCTGGGGGCGCCATTCTTGTTAGGGATTATATGAATAGTATGCCCTGGAGTTGTGTACTGCACCTGTGCTGCCACTGTCACATGCAGTGGTCCATCTCTGGGGTTTGGTTGCATGCCCGTTGAACCCTGAGAACACAGAACAAGGAGTCAAGAAGGCCTACGCTGCATTCTTAGCTCTGGGTGTGTCAAGCAGACTCAGGCATTCTTTGAATCTGCCTAGTAAGTTCCCCTTAGAATATTCTTTGTGTCTCCCATTGATGGCACTTTCATTCTTTTTGACAGTACAGAACAACAGCCTGTTTCTCTAACAAAATAGGCTTTTGTGAAAAGTTAGATGTGTAAATCACACTTCCTTACAATATAACTCTTTTTTATCAGAACATAGCCATGCAATGAATAACTTATTGTAAGCAGGTACTGTTAACATTTGAAATATGGCTTAACCAAGCTATGTTCACAGCCATTTAGTTATTTTAGCAGCTGAGCCAAAAAGACGCCCTAAAATCTCCTCAGTGTGAAAGTGCAGCTTACATTAGGAATCTCTTCTTTTGGTCAAAGGTCTTTCCCTAGCATCTCAAGCCTAGTAGTTCTGACCTATCTTCAAAGCAGGTACTAAGCATTTAGGCTTGCCTTTGATACTACCTGTAGACTTTAATTTGTTGTATTCAATACTTAAGTTAATGTGTTAATAGTTACTTTGTTCAAAACTGAGATGATGTCGGGATATCTACCTCCTTGGCACCCCATTCACACCTAATGTGTGGTCCTGCCTTCTATTTTCTACTTCTCACTTTTCTTCATCTCTTTTATTTTATTGTGGTTAAACATACATAACATTTGCCATTTTAACCATTATTAAGTGTACAATTCAAGTGGCGTTAATTACATTCATAATGTTGTGCAACCATTACCACTCAATTTTTGGATTAGGAAGAGTTAGATAAGAAATAAGGTCTGTAACATTTTCTATGTGCTCTGTGTCCTCTTTCCTCTGTAATTCAAAGCCTCATTAATAATTAATCAGGAAATGGACAGAAGGAAAGCTGCTTTCCAAATCCTATTCCTGCTGGGAAATCTGTCAGTCAAGCAAGCAGCTACTGGCAAAAATTGTTTCAATCCCATTTCTCTTAAAAAGACAGCTACTTACTTCTACTTTTATTTATTTTTGCGAAATACAGAATACATTAAAAAAGAGTTATAAAATGTTTATGTATAAAGATCAATAATAAAATAAACACCTGGGTGTCCACCTCCTGACTTAAGAAATAGAGCATTGCCAGGACCATAGACGCCCCTGTGGGGTCCCCAGTGACAACCAGCCTCTCCCCCAGCCTCAAGTAACCACTGTCTTGAATTTTGTGCTAATTATTGCTTTGTTGTTCTTTGAGTTTTGCCTCCATGCATGTATTCCTAAAGTGTATGCTGTTTTAGTTTTGTCTTGTAGTTTTATAAAGCTACAAGATACCTTTATTAGAGTCACATTATATGAACTCTTAGGTGATTTTTCTACTTTTGATCTAAGTTGATGTGTGCCGCTATAGTTCATTTTCAATGTTGTGTAGTTCCCTGTGATAAGAATACACCATAATGTATGATTAATTTTACTGTTGATGTGTTTTTGGATGTTTTCCAGTTTTTGTCGATTATCTTCAGTGTTTCTATGTACATTCTTGTGTGTCTCCTGGGAACATATACAAGAGTTTCTCTAAAGTAAACACCTGGAAATAAATTTCAGGTGATAGAGTAAACTGTTTTTTGCATCACTGAAATGATTATATGATTTTCTTCTTGAATCTGTTGATGTGGTTAATGTCATTAATTCATTTTCTGATATTTGACCAGTCTTGCAACCCCAGCATTAAATCAAATTTGATCATGATTTATTCTCTTTTTAACACAGTGTTAAATTTAGTTAAATTTATATTTCTTGTTATCCTTGTCTGGTTTTGGTAAAAGAGTTATGTTAGCCTCAGAGAACATATTAGGGAATATTTCCTCTTTTTCTATTCTCTGGAATCAGTACTATTTGAATTATGTATTCCTTAAACTTTGGAAACAGGCTCTTGTGCCTTCTTTATGGAGAAATTTTAAACTGATTTAGTCGATTAATGATTATGTGACAATTTGGATTTTCCTGAGTCATTTTCTAAGATTTTATCCATTTTAATTTTTCAAAATGTTGGGTATAAAGTTACTTATATTTTCTAATATCTTTTTAAGCTTCACAACAACTATAGCTATATTATCTTTTCATTGGTAATGTTAATTTATGCCTTCTTTCTTTCTTTGCCAGAAGGTTTGCTAATTTTATTAATCTTTTCAAAGGACCAACTATTGGCTTGGTTGAACTCTTTCTCTTGAATGTTTCTTTTCTGTTTCTATATTTCCTTCCTTCACATTTCTTTCTTTTTATTCTATTATCTTTTTTTCTACATCTCAAGTTGGAATTTTATCTCATTAATTTTAGCCATTCATCTTCTCTAATGTAAGCTTTTAAGGCTATGTAACTTGGCCTCCAAGTACTACTTTAGCAGACTCCTTCTTATTTTGATATGGATATTTTTGTTATTTAGTTTTTTAAAATGTTTTCTAATTTCTACTGTGATTTCATCTTTGATTCATTCAAAGGTAATGATGTTTTTTTAAAAGAACTTATTGGTCATTACTGCAAGTTGCTGGAACACTAATTCATAACTCTAATAATTTATATGTAAAAGAAAGACTCAAGCATTTGCTTTTCTTTCCTTTATGAATTTTATTTCAAGTAGACCAAATACTTGAGGAGAGATTTTCTTTTTAGAGTTGCAGCCAGTAAATGCAGATTCCTAGTAAAAATAATGGATCTGTGTGATGATCAACAAATGATATTAAAAGTGTTATATGAAAGCTTGACAGGAAACTTTATAATGAGGGAATCAGGCTGATGCCACTTGAACCCACAGTAGTCCTGTTAAAAGATATATGAATGAGCATCTAATTAATGCCTGCTTACTGAAAATACAAAGGATAAAGAAAAAATTTAAATGCTAAGTTATAAGAGGAAGCAACCAGTCAAAGCAAGAATGTAGGATAGTCAGTAGGAAAAATGGCCTGGTTTCTCCTGAGGAGAAAAATGACTGAGACAGGAAGGGGAAAAACAAAAATGTGAATTGGCATAGAAGAAAGTGACACAAAAGACATCAAAACAAATTTAGATGTCCATTTCAGTATTTTAGTTGTTTCCATCAGGAAGATTATTTAGGAGATCTCATCCAACATACTGCCAGAGACAGAAGTCCAACCTACTTTGAAGAGATAAGCAGCATCCTTCTCTTTGTACTTTCCCATCACATCTTAGCCTTTGAACACCTTAGTCTTTTAAAATGGAAATGGTATGCATTCCACCCTAAAAATTTGTTACATACATAAATGTGGAAATTTTCATCCTCCCTTTGTTTCTTGGAAAAGAATTCCACATGAAATGTGGGAAAACATATTCAGAGAGAAATCAGTATTTTTTTTTTTTTTTTTTGCCTCAGAGTATTATGTTTTTCTTAAAAGATTTTCTTAAAAGTTATAAATAATTTATAAACCTATTTTTATCTCGAAAGAATTAAGGAAACTTGATATTTTTTCATTATAGCCATTTAATAAAGTACGTAATACTTTTTTCAAGTAAAATACCTCTCCCTGAGTTAAATTTTGATCTTTATATAGTGAGTTTTCTTAACGGACAACACAATCATACCATTACCCAAAAAACTGTCAGTGTGCCACAGAAGACTCCTGTGTCTGCCAACAACATAAGCCCTTGGATATTGTCATAACATCACCTGACCTATATCATTTGCCCCTTTATAAGGACATTATGAAGATTAAAGTTATAATGTTTATAAAATCTATCAAGCAATTCCTTCTGCATGGCTACTCTTCTTATACTTTACCATAATACTCTAAGGCAAAAAGATACTGATTTCTCTTTGACTATCTTTTCCACATATTATGTGGGATTTCCATAAATAAAGGGAAGATGAGAATTCCCACATTTATATATTGCCTAACTTCATACTATAATTATTTGCCTATAACTAAGAGACCATTTTTATCTAGTGCTTTGGCTTCTGAGTAAAAAAACTGCTGAATTTCAGAAAAGTCAAATAAGAAGGCAGTTTCATCCTGCAGAAATGTTGTATTTAGTACATAGGTATCTTTTGATGTTTTGATTTCAACCATATGGATGTATAGTTTCAAAGACAGGGCTCTTAGAGGTCAGACCTGAAGACCAGTCAGCACTTAACTCACTTTCCCCAGAGTGTTTCCTCAGGCCTCACATGATCATTCTGTAAGAAAAGAATCCGAATTTATCAACAATGTCTAGTATTGTTATTTTAGTGGAAAAAAAAAAGGTAGTATAGTAAATTCTCACTTAACAATGTTGATCGGTTCGTGGAAACTGTGACTTTTAAGCGAAGTGACATATAACAAAACCATTTTTACCATAGGCTAATATAAACAAGAGTTAAGTTCCTCTGGCATATTTCTAGTCACAAAAATATCACCCAGCTTCTAAATCAAGACCCAAAACACTTATAATATTAAACATTGAAATAAATGTCAGCCATACGCACATTTTTTTAAATTAATAAAAACAAGATAATTGCCCAATTTTTGGTCAATTAGTGAGTGACAGCAGTTTTGGTGGTGGTGGGTTAAATCAGGGAATAAATGTTTACCAAGCTAAAATTGTAAGGAGCCCCTCCTCCCGCCACACAACTCAAAACAATCACAAATATGGTGGGCTCATTGAGCACTATCCTACAACATTGTTTATTGTTGTACATTTGTATGATTATTGGATACTTTATTACAATCATTTGTATCCATTCATTTTCTAACCCACTTCTTCCAGTTCAGGGTCATCGAGGGTGGCTGGAGGCTATACTGGAAGCTCAGGGTGCAAGGTGGCAACCCGCCCTGGACAGGACACCGTCCCATCACGGCACACCCACACACCCACACTTGCTCAGACTGGGACCCTGTAAACGTGAAAATTCACCTGCTGTGCACAGCTCTGGGATGTGGGAGGAAACTCATGCAGGCCTAGAGAGAATGTGCAAACTCCATGCAGACCATGACCCCAGCCCAGAATCGATTTTTTCTTTTTCCTGATTAAAGTTGAGCAAAATTATGTTATTTGAGGAACTGTTGTACTGTTAAATTGTCATTGCTATTACTTAATTTCTGATCAGAGATTACCAATGTGTTTAACTGTATGATTGCCTAAATAAAAATTTCATTCCTTTTTGTGGTAAAATATACATAACATAAAATTTACCATTTTAACCATTTTTAAATGTACAGTTCAGAGGCATGAACATTCACAGTGTTAGGCAACCATCACCACCACACATCTCCAGAACTTCTTCATCTTCCCAAACTGAAACTTCCTATCCATTAAACCGTAACTCCCCATTTACCCTTCCCCATGGCTCCTAGAAACCACCATCCTACTTTCTGCCCTTATGAATTTGAAAAAGTTTATTCTTAAGGGCAGTAGTTTGAAATCATTTTTTGTAGTCTCTTTAGTGAAGCTGTCCTCTGTGGTAAGAGAAAACTGTGTGATGCTTTAAAGTCATTATTTATAGATAAAAGAAATGATGTACAGTCCCTGGTGCCACCCGCTCACTATGTTCCATGACATCTCTTATAGGCAGAGAATTTTTTGTGGGCCTTTCCAAAAGGACAAATCAACGAGGTGCTGAAATCTTGGCTGATACTTTTAAGGTAGGTAAAAGGTAGTTTATGCCTGGCACAAAGTAATTACTTAATAAATAATCATAGACCCATTGAATCAATATCATGAGTAATGGTGTTTACGCTTCACTGGCTTTGTACAATAATTCGTAATATTTGTACATTTACTAGAAGTTTTATAAGCTATAAAATTCAAATTCCTCAATAATTCAGCTTCATTGGGCTACCACAAGAACAACAAAGTTAGCATGGGCATCTTCTGTCTTCTTCCAGTGTATAATTATACAGCCACCTGGCAGATGTTCCTGGAATAATCAACAACTTAAAAAAAAATCTGGAAGGCCAGGCGTGATGGCTCACGCCTGTAATCCCAGCACTTTGGGAGGCCAAAGCAGGAGGATTGCGTGAGCCCAGGAGTTCCAAACCAGCCTAGGCAACATGGCGAGACCCTGTCTCAAAAAAAAAAAAAAAAAAAAATCTGGAAACCCAATTGACTCTGTTATGAAATACAGATTTTTTTAGATTGGAATCGGGGTCACCTGTGCTTGAGTGCCTGCTGTGTGCTGGAAACCGTGCTAGGTGTTGCACATACATCCTCTTAAGGTCCCTTTATTGATTATTAATAGATTGGCTCTCTGCACTGCATAGGAAGGGATGTAACTCTCAAGATGCTCCATTCCCCGTGAGGATGTGAGTCTCCAGCTGAGCTACTGTTTACACGGGATATTCAAATACACCCTCCCAGAGTAGCCCACTCCATAGATCAAACAGCCAGCAAAGATGTTGCAGCAGTCACACATCTGGTGACTCTGCTCTCTTCTTAGAAGCAGTCTTCATTTAACTAGCAATATCCAAACCTGTGGGTCCCAGTTTTTCTTCCAAATATTCAAGGTCCCTGACAGCCTTCAAGGAGTAGGTGTAGTTCAGGGAAGTTTTTAATCAGTTTTAGAATTATTCTGCAATACTAAACTGCTTGTTTTTCTATTGTCCGTGTAGGACTATGCAGTCTCCACAGTGCCGGTGGTAGATGGCTTGCATTTGAAGAGTTTCTGCAGCATGGCTGGGCCTAACCTGATCGCAATTGGGTCTAGTGAATCTGCACAGAAGGCCCTTAAGGTAAATACAAAACTGTGCTCCTTCTAAATGCAGTGGGGGTGTCTGCCACAAGGTTTTTCACATTCTCTCTGCAGGGGGAGTAACAAGTAGGGTTGGCAGAGAGAGAACAGGCAGGTATTTGAGCTTCTGTGATGTGCACTATTGTGACCTCACATTCATTAGAAGCCAGGAACACCTAAGTGTAGGAAGAATTCTTCACTGGTGAACTGTTCTTAGTTACATACCAGATTTCCTAAAAAAGGCCATGATTCAAAATAATAAACACCAAACTCATCACCGTTATCCCTCAGGGGAAAAGAGGGCATGCCACCAGATAGAGCTCCTTGTAATGTTTTTTCACTTAAGTTGGAGAGTTGGTACACAGGGTTGTTATAGTATTCTCATCCTTTTGTTGCATCTGGACTATTTCATAATAATCTTTTAGAAAGCCCTGATTCAGAAGTACCTAAAAAGCTTAATTTCTTCATTTGCATTTGGAATAATAACATTTTAAGACCGGAAGTTTCCTCATTTTATAGATAGTAGACTTGCCAGAAGAAAATTAGACTTGCCCAGGCCACACAGCTAAATCAAGAGTGGAAGTCATTGATAAAGAAGATGACCCTCTGTTACAGTGCAGTGCTTTCCCTTTCCTCCTCTGTAACTTCAACCCCGTGAGATGATACGGATACCCAATAAGGATAAAGACTGTGTCTGTTTTGCTTATCATTATGCTCCTTTGCACTTGGCCCACAGTGGGCCCTTAATAAATATCGGATGAAGGGATGAATAAATGAATGAGAGAGATGGTATTATCTCCATTTTGCAGATGAGAAAACTAGATCAAGTGACTTGCCCCAGGTCATAGTGCTAATACTAAATAGTGGGTCAGGACTGCAGCCCCTTCCTCTCAGCTGGTCCTGCATACCAGCATGCATGACTTATTAAAGGGCCAAAGCCGGAAGTTCCTTTTAGACAGCAAATCTGTGGGCCCTGAGGCTCGTTCAGGTTTTTTCTCTTCTACCTCAGTGCCAAGCGTGGTTGTTTGGCTGGGAAGCAATCATTGCCTTGAGCTAAATTTCCCCTCTGTATTATCTGCCACTCTTTCAGTTAGCTCACCTGGCCTTTCTTCCGCCTCTTCCCAAACTGTATCTTTGATTCTGTTTCTAAGGCTTTTATTAATTGTTGCTGAACAATCTGTCTCAGAATTTGATTTTTATCGTGGTGGCTTTTGTTCATTTACTTTAGAGAATGTCTTTTGTTCTGCTTCATCTGGAAGTTCATGTCAACTTCCTGTATATAAAAAAAGCTGGTGTCTTGAAAGAAAACATTTGATAAATGGTGTCGCTCAGGAGGTCTAGGAAGATGATTATTCTCCTTAGGGACTGTGGTATCCGTGGTAGCAAGGCTGGTCTGCATATGTCTGAGATCGATTATAAGATGAGAGGGTTTAAGCTGATCTATACCTTGCATTTGTGTGAATTAGCAGAAAGAACTCCTTCTGGGTGGAACAACTAGAAAAAGTGGCCCCTTCTGCCATTCTGGGTAGACTAGGTCCCTAACTCAAATCGTTTGGTCCCTACCTCAGTAGGTCTCTAACTCAAATAGTCTAGCGAGACTAACACATAACAAAATAAAAGGTAATCAAATATGACTAATTAGCACTACGTTATATGATACAGGCCCTAACTGCTCTTCAAAGTTCAGAGGAAAAGGAGGAGCTCCCTGAGGCCAGATATTCAGAGAAAGCTTTGTAGAGAAAATGAGACTAGATGTGAGTCTTGAGGGATGGATGGCATTTGACAGGGTAGAATTCAATGAGAGAAAATTACAGGTGGGGACATGGCATAAGCAAAGACTGAGCAAAGTACATTCAAGAGACATGAGCAAAACAACTCAACTCATAAAGGAGTTTCTAGTGGGTTTCTAGAGGTACAAGTGGAAGGGGCAGGTGAGGTCTGAAGAAGTAGGAACTTAACAGTGAGGAAGATAAGATTATCACCGTGAGGGAGCAATCTGGGTCCCAGCAGGTCTTTGAGGAGAAAGCCCTGCATTGTTTCAGAGATGTTGGACCAACATTGGAAAAGGAAGACCCTGCAGTTAGAAAAGAGGACCACTGATGACCTGGGGGGGAAAAAAAAAAAAAAAAACCCAAGCCCTAAGTCCTATTGCATGGCTTGGCAACTCACTCCTATTTCTCTCTTCATCTTTCCCTTCCCATGGTCAGATTCTCTCAGACCACATCTCTTAAGGGCATCCTATGAAGACTTTATAGTCCTCCTCCCTGTAGAGTTCATTCGAGTTAGTGTTAATAATGATGTTCCTTTTCTACTTGTCAGAACCTATAAATAATCCTCAGTAGCTAGAAAGGCATTCGTTGGAGATTGCATTTTCCATCAGCAAATGTACGGCCTAAACCACAGGCCTGTGGATTTGGTGACTGCCCACCTGCCATGTTTCTAGCATCAAAAATGTCCTGTTACCTTGTAGTGAAAATAAGAGGACAAAATGATCTGGAGAATAATGAGCTCTGCCTAAGGAAATAGTCACAGGTTGGAAATGGGTTGGTGAAACTCAGGTTTGGATGAACTCAGCTGCTTTATTTATTTGAGAGTAGTTTGGTTTCTATAGTACAACCATCAATAAAATTAATAATGGGTCAATTATTAATTGCTAACTACTAGCATAGAAATATAAATACTCCATGTTATTATAGACAGGCAGGAAGACAGAAGAATAGATACAAATATATCGCTTACAAGTGATAAAAGTGTGATTGGTTTTGTTTTTCCCATTTTACAGTTCAAAATACTGAGACCTGATAAAATAATCATTTTGAGTGGGATCTTACAGTTCCAGAAACAAGTTTCCTGGACCCTGATTCCCCTGGCCTCAGTTGCCCACCCCACTCCATACTAAATCTTTTTTATTTAGAAAACCTTTTCTAATTATTTTGCCACAGATTGATTCTAGCTGAGCTTGTCTGCTCCTTCCGTGTCTCTCCACCTACTTCCTGACTTTCCATTTTTTGTTGGTATCCAAGATCTGAGCAGTCTCAGGAAAGGTGTGAGTTTGGTACCAGATATTTATTTTTTCCCTTGTAAACCTTCTTTCCTCTGTAGAGAAGTCCGGCATATTACTTAAACAGAGGTGAACTGTGCCTTCCTGTGCTACACACTGAAAGCTTGATTACTTCTCACCTCTGTCACTGCTCTTTGAGTACTTGGTTCCTTCAGAATCTACTTCTTACATATTTAGGTAAAGCTGAGAGCCCCAAGGGTTTCTGGGTAGTTTTATTGCATTTGAAATACTTTGTAATGGGTTGCAATCTACTCTTGGTTAATGAAGTAGATTCTTATGGAGATAATCATCTTGCCAGTCGAGATTATAGTAGATTTAATAGTGTATGCATTGTATATTTAAATGAAATCATGCATCTAGGAAGAGCTTAGCAATTCTCAGCTAAAAAGCCCAGAACACATTCATTCATTCATTCACTCATTCATTCATTCATTTAAGATGGAGTCTTACTCTGTTGCCTAGGCTGGAGAGCAGTGGCTTGATCTTGGCTCACTGCAGTCTCCACCTCCCAGGTTTAAGAGATTCTCCTGCCTCAGCCTCCTGAGTAACTGGGATTACAGGCACCACGCCCAGCTAATTTTTGTATTTTTAGTAGAGATGGGGTTTCACCATGTTGCCCAGGTTGGTCTCGAGCTCCTGACCTCAAGTGATCTGCCTGCCTCGGCCTCCCAAAGTGCTGGGATTACAGGCGTGAACCACCTCGCCTGGCCTCCAGAACACATTTAATACAGGGTACCAATCTAGGGAAAGAAGAAAGGAAGACATTATTACTGCATTTTACCATCCATATGGCAAAGTTACTAGAAGTTAGGTTGGTTTGAACAAATGCTAGATACCTAACAGCAAATCTGATCCTAGAAATACTTTTAGGCCAAACTAGTTTTTAGAGCAACCTGCATTTTCTATAGTTTTTCTCCCGACTTTGCATCATCACCTTCATACCCCCCTATATGTTTAAAAAAAAAAAAAAAAAAAAAAAAAAGTAAGACAAATTAATTCATACACAGGCATTAGACCTGTTTGTACTCTTCCAGAAGGAATGTTTGCCTTCTCTAAGATGAGAACTCCAGTTATTCCAAAGCTGGAAATGCTGCTCAAAAACATAATTTGAACAAAAGAAGCCAACCCCCAAAGAATACATATTCTAGCTTTTCATGCACATAATTAAACAAGAGGCAAAGCTACTCTCTACTGTTAGCTGTCAGAATAATATTTTAAGAAGAAGGGAGGCAGTCATGGTCCAGAGGGCCACTTTGTGTGTTATACTTTATATATTACACTTTGTATGTTATACTTTAATTTTTTAAAGTTTAGGAAAAATATATATGTTACATTGTTGGAAGTAGGCTATGATTGACTTGCAGAAATAATTCTCCAATAACTAAGTGTGCCTAACTCCTAACCCCCTGCTTTACCATCTACATAATGCCTGTCTTTTCCATAGACTACTCTGTTTTTTTTTTTTTTTAATTAAGGAGGAAAAATACATAAGAAAGAGTAAATCTATACCACATCTCACCTTGTTCTATTTCTAGATCCATCCCCAAAATTGCCTTCTTTTCCAAAAACCTGGATTAATTACATGCTATCTTCACAGGAGGATAGATTGTAATATCTGCCCTCAGGAGGGACTCACAGTAATTCTCAGTAATGATTTTTAACTTGACCTCTTTGGTAGCATTCACTCTTCCAGTCAATTGGAGAAAAAAAAATTTCTTAAGAAAGGAAAGATGAAGGGAGGGGAGGGGAGGAAGGATGAAGGGGAAGAGGGAGGGAAGTCAGGGGAGGTGGTAACCTTTAGCTAAAACTTTCCTGAAACTGTTCAGAGGAGGAAGCTGCTGACCCCACCTGGGAGGGACTGCAGCACTGACCAGCTGGGGGACTGTGCCATCTGCTGGCCGGGCAGCAGGAGGAGCATCCTCACCTTCCTAACCCCGTGG